GACAAATTTAAGGTCCAATATCTTGTTTGTCTTAACCTCTAGAAATGGGAGTTTTATCAACTTTGGAAAGGAAGGATTCCCAAACTTTCCAATGGGATACACAACACTTACTTCTAGTTCTGGAGGTCCTGAAATACTGTACACTGAAATAGGTGATTATTTAGATTTTTATTCATAGATTCTCATTGATTCATTTAAATATTCCAAGGCTAGAAGGAACCATTGTGATAATCTAGTCTGACCTCCTGTATTCCCCAAAATAATTCCTACAACGTATCTTTTAGAAAAACATCCAATCTTGATTTAAAAATTGTCAGTGATGGAGAATCCACCATGATCCTTTGGTAAACTGTTCCAATGGGTAATCACTCTCAACGTTAAAAAAATATGCCTTATTTCCAGTCTGAATTTGTCTAGCTTCAACTTCCAGCCATTGGATCATGTTATATATTTCTATGCTCGATTAAATATTTGTTCGTCATATAGATACTTATAGACTGTAATCAAGTCACCCCTTAATCTTCTCTTTTAGATTGAGCACTTTGAGTCTATCACTATAAGGTGTGTTTTCTAAACATTTAACCATTCTTGTGGCTCTTCTCTGAACCCTCTCCAATTTATCAACATCCTTCTTGAATTGTGAGCACCAGAACTGGACACAGTATTCCAGCCACCAATACCAAATATGAAGAGAAAATAACCTCTACTCCTACTTGAGATTTCCCTGTGTATGCATCCCAGGATCACCTTAGCTCTTTGGCCATAGCATCATACTGGGAGTTCATGTTCAGCTAATTATCCACCACAATCTTTTTCAGAATAACTGCTTCCCAATATAAAGTCCCCTATCCTGTAAATATGGCCTACTTTCTTTGTTCCTAGATGTATACACCTATATTTATCTATATTAAAGCTCATATTGTTTACTTGTGCCCATTTTACCAAGTGATACAGACTGCTCTGAATCAGTGACCTGTCCTCTTCATTATTTACCACTACCCAAATTTTCATGTTATCTGCAAACTTTATCAGTGATTAGTTTATGTTTTCTTCCAGATCACTGATAAAAATGTTAAATAGTGTAAGGCCAAGAAGCAATCCCCGAGGAATTCCACTCCAAACACACATGCTTGATGACAATTCCTCATTTAAAATTACATTTTGAGACCTATCAGTTAGCTAGTTTTTAATCCATTTAATGTGTGTCAAGTTCATCTTACATTTTTCTAGTTTTTTAATCAAAATGTCATGTTGTACCAAGTCAAATGCCTTACAGAAGTCTAAGTATATTATGTCAACACTATTACTTTTATTACTATTACACTTACTAACTTGTAATCTTACCCCAAAAAAAGATTGCAAGTTAGGATCTACTCTCCATAAACTCCTGTTGGCTTGCATCAATTACATTACCCTCCTTTAATTCTTTATTAATCGAGTCCTGTACAGAGGTGCTGGAACAATTTGTATAATGGGGGTGCTGAGAACCATTGAACCAAACTATAAACCCTGTATATGATGGAAACCACTTCAAGCCAGGGGGTACAGCAGCACCCCCAGCATGTCTAGTTCTTGCACCTATGGTCCCATATCAGCTGCTCCATTATCTTGCCTGGGATCAATGTCAGGATGACAAGTTTATAATTATCCAGTAGCTTCTGTTTAATATGTCTAAGAGATGCTCAAGGTAGGGAAAGAATGTTATCACCATATATTCAGACTGTGTCATCCGTTTTTTTCCCAAATACAGAACAGAAATATTTATTGAACTCCTCTGTCTCTTCTGCATTATTATTGATAATTCTATCATTTCCATCTACTAATGGACCAATACCATTGTCAGGATTCTTTTTGTATCTGACATATTTTAAAAACTCCTTATTAGCTTTAACTCTGTTGGCCATAGATTTCTCCTTGTGTCTCTTTGCTTCCCTTATCAATTCTCTTCAATTCCTATCTTCTGATTTATATTCATTCCTATCGACTTCCCCTTTCTTCCATTTGTTATATATAAACAACCTGGTTTAGAGGCAATGAGGAAGCAGCTATACAAAATTTATATATAGAGAGAGCTACACTTCCCTGGGTCACTTCCCCACAGCTCTCCCCATTCTCTCTCTTAATGCCTTCTTCACCCTTACCTTAGGTCTCCCTTCCTGTGGCTTGAGGGTGTCTTCATTACCTAGCCTTTCAGCCTCACTTCCTTTCCTCTGGTTCCCTTTTCCTTCCCCCAGCCTGACCAGAGTGAGCTCTTTTACATTATCAGAGGGGCCTTAGAGTCAGGTGTTCACATTAGCTTAACGACCTCACCTGACTCTTCACAGGTTAATTAGAATCACGTGTTCACATTAGCCTGAGGCCTCACCTGACTCTTTGCAGGCTAATCGGAGTCATGTGTCCACCCTAGCCTGGAGCAGCCCCCGCTCTGATCAGCCAGGGAACAGAAAACTGCTTATCCAGTGGCCAGTATATCTGCCTTCTATTACTCTGCTGTACCCAA